CACTAGGGTTTGAGCAATGGGACCCCCTAAATGTTTAGAGTAGCTGGAGCCACATAACCAACCTTGTATTTTAGAAAGAGGACAGTAACATATATTTCTGTATTGCTATTAAGCCAATAGGGAAAACATTTTTTAAAAACTGCCCAAGGAATGATCAAACCGTGGTACATCCACACACTGAACTATTTTGTACCACATAACATGAAATAGATCTGTGTGTACGGACAAGGGAAGAATTCCAAGACCAAGCACTTGATGTTGGCTTTTATTTTTTTTTTAATCAAGCAAAGCCATGGATTTCTGTAGCAACATACATATGCTTATGCATGCAATCCCTTGAAACTAACAATAGTAATCACTTCTGGGAAAGGAAGTGTGGCAGGGGATTTAAACTTTATGTTGCTTGAGATTTTTACATAGTGAGAATTTAATTACTTATGTATTTTTAAATAATAGTTGAAAGCTGCCTGAAACCCTTGGCATCTTATTTATGCTGAAGTCTCCCCATCCTGATTAGCATAATCTCTTTCCCCTAATAATTCGAAGTTCTCTTAACCTCTTGGTTTCCCCTAACTGGGCTTCCTACCACCAGTTTAAGAGTGATAGCTCCTCACAGATATTAATTCATTTACTCCTCCTCCATGTGAGGTGATTATGATTCTTTTCCCCACTTTACACAACAAGAAATTAATGCACAGAGAGGTTAAGTAACTGGTTTAAGGTCACACAGTAAATGGCTGGTATAATAGGATTTGAATTCCCAAAGGCCTGCATACTTAACCACGCCACCTCCCTGCCTCTCTAGAAGGTCAACTTGCTTTTTTGTAATAAAGATCACTCTTTTTAAAAAATATGATTTTACTGATTTCATAGAGTGGGCGGGAGAGGGAGAGAGAGAGATGGAAACATCAATGATGAGAGAGAATCATTCATTGGCTGCCTCCTGTATGCCCCCTACTGGGGATTGAGCCCACAACCCGGACATGTGCCCGGACCAGAAATCAAACCATGACCTCCTGGTTCATAGTCGATGCTCAACCCCTGAGCCACACCGGCCAGGCTTGACTTGCTTTTAACGTTCTGCATCCCTCTGACTGGTTCTGTTGCCCATGAGCGGATATGTCACCACTACAGATGAATCGTTACCACTATTCCTTTTCTGCATTCACTACATGGTTCTGTCTCTGATAGAAAGGGGTACTCAAAATTCAGATCAGCTGGAAAGGGAGTTGTATCGTGGACTGTGTCCACAAAGCGCACACCCACACACACCCAGAGGCCAAATTAACCGCTAACTTGAGAGTATGCTGGTGATGTGGGAGGCAGATGGGAGTGACACAGAGGTTCACAGGGTGAGTGAGGTCGTGTGTGTGTGTGTGTGTGTGTGTGTGTGTGTGTGTATGTTGCTATAAGGTCCAGCAACGTGACAGTCCCCAGAAGGCGTTGGGCCACTTGCTAAGTCCCAGCAGCTGAGCTGACTTCAGCGGTATGAAACGCAGCCCCATCTGGAGCAGGGGTGGCTCGTGACTTTTGCTCCGGGAGTTCCATAGAGTCTGCTCATGAAATTGGAGAAGACTGTAGCATATGAGTGTCCCCATCCCACTCTGAGAGAATATTTTGAGAAGTCTAATTATATGGTGGGGTTTAGAGGGAAGAGGGTTCTAAGGGCAGGTTGGGAAGCGCTGGCAGTTCCGTGGGGTGAAGGCGCCCTCTGCAGGTGGAGCAGCGTGATTGCAACCACTGCATTCCCGTTGACCTTGGGCCTGTGCCCACAGCACAGGTCTCCCTAACTGAGATGCTGACCTCCTGGCTATGTGACTTAGTTAGGGGAGTTGTTGACTATCCTGAGTCTCAATTGCCTCAACTGTAAAGAAGGACAAAAATCCCTATTCATGAAGGTTGTGATAATTAGAGAGAGAAAATGTACCCAAAGTGTTCTGCGGAGGGCCTGGTGGGCACGGAGTCCTCCAAAGATGGCAGCTACGAGCAGCAGCAACAATGGCAGCCCTGTCATCATCATCACTGGCATCTTGAACAATAACAGCAAAGATGACCACCAAGTGCCTTTACCAGGACAAAAGAGAACCCGAGTGATTGCTCCCGATTCCCTTGACTGACTCAGTCCTCTGGGTGTTGTTTGAGAACAGTCTTAAAATGTTGACATTTTATTCATCATGGATTTTTGCATTTTTACTTTTTTAAAGATTGAATTAAAATATTATTTATCTTAATGACTAGCGTTTTTAAATATATTTTTATTGATTTCAGAGAGGAAGGGAGAGAGAGAGAGAATCATTGATTGGCTGTCTCCTGCACGTCCCACAGTGGGAATCAAGCCTGCAATCTGGTCACATGCCCTGATTGGGAATCGAACCAGGACCTCCTGGTTCATAGGTCAGTGCTCAACCACTGAGCCACGCTAGCTGGGCATGACTGAGTTTTTTGACCCTCTCAACTTTTTGCACTCACCTTGCCTTAGTCCTGACCCAGATATTAAAGTTGCCTGAATTTTCATGGGGCTCCCTGCTCCCCTCACCACCCACCCCACCCCCCAGTCTCTCCTTTCACCTTCTACAAGGGACAGGGACAGCACATCCTGTGTTTCTATTTATTCCTTCCTTCAACCAACCAACATCTAAGCAGAGCTACTGTGTGCAAAGTCCCAAGCCATCTGTGGAAACAAACACGAATCTGTTCATTCATCGAGCATTTATTGGTCACCTGCTATGTACCAGGCTCTGGGGACACAATAATGAACAAGACAGACATAGTTCTTGACCTCTGGAGTGGGAGATTCAGACAAAAAAATCTATAATAATAAAAAGCGTAGTATGCTAATTACACTGGACATCCTTCTGAATGAAGCTGGGACTGTGAGGGAAGCCTGGGTCCCGGGTGCCAGAGGGAAGCCGGTGCCGGCAGCCGGGGGAAGAAGGGCCTACTCTTGCACGAATTTCGTGCACTGGGCCTCCAGTATATTCATAAGGAACTAAAATTAAACTTGCAGATAGCAATAAGTTCTATGAAGAAAATAAAGTGAATGGGCCATGCCCTCAAAATGCCACAGTCTGGGAAGACAGACATGTAAATGGGTAATTGTCAATCCAGGTGTATGTGCATTGATGGCAGATACAGAAGATGTACTGATGAGAGTGGCAAAGGGGTGCTTTCTTAGGGGAAGAGAAAGCTGGAGCTGAATCCTGAATGATGGAGAATTGGCCACGTGGAAAAGGAGGAAAGGGCACTCCAGATCCAAGGCCTGGAAATGAGCCAAGGTGTGGAGGTGAGAAACGAGGAGGGAAACAGAACGGGTTTCATCACAAGGAAAAATGAGATGGGAAGGGCGAGGGTGGGCCAGCCCTGGAAATCTTGGAGGCTAAGCTGGGAGTTGGTGGTTGATCAATGTGGCAGGGGGAGAGTCAAGGACCACTCTGAGTTTCTGGCTTAGAGACCGGATAGCTGGTGGAGCCAATAAGAGGAGAGCTAAGCACTCCCAGGCGATGTGTACAGTTGGGGGCAGGTGGATGTAAAGTTGGGGGCAGGTGGAGTTTCAGAAGCCATTGGAACACCCGGTTGGAAGGCAAATGAAATCCTGAATTTTGCATGTAAAGGCCCCCAATCCCATCAGAGGGATTCATTGGAGTGAGGTGGGTTTTTCTCAGAAGCAAATACCACAGGCAATAAAATCATCTGATATTATCCCCCCTAAATCCAACCCTCCTTAGCTGCAAGGAATCCAGCCAGGTTGCCCTAAATCACAAGACACGAGGTATGTAGTTGATTGTATAAACAGCAATGCTTTTTGGTTTTAATTTTTAATTCTGGACTTGATTCCCAGCCTTTCAGGGAAGAAGGAGCTCCTGAGGCAAGATTCCCACCCAAGATTGCCCAGCCGGTGTGGCACAGTGGTTGAGCATCGACCCATGTGCAAGGAATCCAGCCAGGTTGCCCTAAATCACAAGACACTAGGTATGTAGTTGATTGTATAAACAGCAATGCTTTTTGGTTTTAATTTTTAATTCTGGACTTGATTCCCAGCCCTTTCAGGGAAGAAGGAGCTCCTGAAGCAAGATTCGCACCCAAGATTGCTCAGCTTTCCCGCCCAGCCGGTGTGGCGCAGTGGTTGAGCATCGACCCATATGCCTAAAGGTTTGCTTCCTGGTCAGGGCACATGCTTGGGTTTCAGGCTCCCAGAGGCAGCCCATAGATCATCACTGATGTTTCTATCTCTCCCTCTCCCTTCCTCTCTCTCTAAAAATCAATAAAAACTTTTTTTTAAAAAAGACTGCTCAGCTTTCATTCTCATTTCTCATAAGGAAGTCTGTAAAATGGGGAGGTATTCCAACCTGAAGGGGTTGTTAAGAGGACTGAAGGAGACTTTCTATGCTCACATTTGCAAATGATGAGGTTCAGCATAAACTTAAAGCGTCTAGCAGACTGGTGAAAAGCAATACTTCACTTGCCAGGTAAGTAGTAACAAACAAACAAAACCTTGGGCCGTGTCCCTAGGACACCTTGGGAAGATACGTCAGGAGCAGGCCATGAAAACCTCTAAGTCCTTTTGCAGCTGTGCCTTTCTGAAATCCCAAAGTTCAGGGCGGAGGTGCAGCCGCCCAGGAATGTATTCCTCCATAACTCTGAGCTCCCCAAATCCCCATGAAGCCCAGGAATGATATGACTGGAGGGTGTGTGGGCCCATTGGCACCAAGTGCCTCTTCATAAATCAAGATCTCCATTCTGCTGGCCTCGGGCTGTTTTTTCCAAGGTGACCTAAGCAAAGTGAAAGGGTGGCCACTTACTTATCTAGGAGTGGCACCTGGCTTTGAGATGAAAGAACCCTGAAAATGCCAAGAGGACCAATTCTCTAGAAATATGTCCCTTGGAGAAAGAAAACACTCTTCCTTGATCTCAGAAGGTAATTCAGCCAGAAATTAGAAGGAGAGTGACTGTTCCCGTGATTTCTGCCAACTTGGGTGACCCAACAGGCCCCGTGGGGCAGACTCGGGGGAGCCCTGTTCCAGAGCTGGGTCAGCCCCAGTGAAAAGTCAAGGTGACCTCAGCCCTGTCACCAGCCACACCCCCACGGCAACCCCCCAAGGCAGCCATGTGAATCACAGAACCTTACATCAGCTGCTCCACAGCCTGATGATACAGGCAATGAAACTATAGGCCCGAGTTGGGGAGGAACTTGTCCAAGGTCGCCAGCCTTGGAAGGAAGGTTCAAGGTTAGACCTAGGGCACCAGGCTATTTCTCATGGCCTCCTACACATCTCCTTCATGAAGTCACGTGGCAATGTAGCTGGGTTCCAGCCCAAGACCTCAGAAACTCAGCCCCATCCAACCAATTTGTCTGACCATCTTAATTTCTCCAGTAGCATCTAAATGAGTGTGAAAACAAAAGAATATAACATATGACATATAACATATGTCAAAAACAAGTGGGCAGAGAAGGAAAAACATCATTCTTGAAAAACACAGGTACCTGCAAAGTTAATTATCTACATCAATGCCTGAGGACACTGAAGAGACCAACTGACTTGGAGGACTGAGGCCACCAAGGTAATCAAGCCCCAGGAGTGAGCCAACCTCCACGCTGACCCATAGAAGAGTCTGAAAAAAGCAGCTGAGATGACTAAAATGGAGACAAACACACAACTCTCTCGCAAGATTGTTGTGGGATTAAGTAAGATGGTGGATCGTAATGTTTTACATACAGTAATTGTTCAAGAAATGGTGTCTGATGCTAAGTGGCTAACTAAGCCACCAAGGGCTGGGTTCCCTTCTCACCCTACTTTACAGAAGGAGTGCATTGTAATTGTCCAGTTACTTGCCTATTAGTAAATCCAGTGAGGGCAGTAACTATAGCATCCCAGCTCCTGGCACATAGATTATTCCATACATTTTTAATGTTTGTTTTTTTTTCATTGATTTGAGAGAGAGAGGAAGGCAAAAGGACAGAGAGATAGAAATATCAATGAGAGAAACATCTACATCAATCAGTACGCCCCCTATTGGGGATTGAACCCACATCCCAAGCATGTGCCCTGACCAGGAATCGAAACAGTGACCTTTTGGTGCATGGGTAGACACTCAACCACTGAGCACACCGGCTGGGCCTCCATACATATTTTTTAATGAATGGATAACACCTTTATCTGTCTTCTTGAAATCCCCTGGGTTCATTCAGCAACCTTCCCGATTTGTCTGGGAATGAGGGGTTTCTCTGGGCACGGGACTCGGGACTCGGTGCTGAAACCTGGATAGTCTCGGGCAAACCGCTCTGTGTCTGACAATGTCTGACTAAACCCATTAAGCGACAGAGATGAATGATAGAACTGAGAAATTTTCAGAAAGAAAGGGCTTAACATCCGGACAGAACTCGGATCGGATGGCCCCGCCCCCTCATGGCCTTAGCCCCACCCCTTCTACCGCCAGCCCTCTCTGACTCCGCCCCCTTCTGGGAAGGTCACCTTAAAAACGCGGGGGGCCAACTGGGCATGCGTCGGGCATTCCGCTACTGCGCATGCTCGCCTCCGCCTTCTCGGCCTTCCCTCCCCCACCCGGGGAACCGGAAGCCGCCTCCCTCTCTGCGGCTCGGAGGAGGTAGCGGATCC